AAGGAGGAGAGATCCAAGAAATCCAGGGAGAAGATATCCAAGAGACTAAAGATTTGAAGACCCAATATCCCACTCACAGTTGTTGGCGTCTGTCATAGGCTTAGAAATCCGGGTTGTTGGCAGTGGTGCCCGACCACTTTATTTTCTGCATACCCTGGGTTGTAATAAGGGAAGTTTGCCTATGGACATTTAGTTGATTATTTTTGTGAATTTATATTGATGTGCTTACCTGATTGCGCTTAGAAATATCTGCTTTTTCTATGTTTCTTTTTTGCATGCCGATTTTGTTTTAGCCTAGATTGCGTTAGGCTCTTTTAATGATTATAAAAAATTTTCTACTCATAACCAATTTCTAATATTTAAGTTTTAAATAACATAGAAACTTAACGAATCTAGGGAACTGCCGGAATCGTCCGGGGTCGCATGCATATTAATACATTTCTCTCTCCTTCTTATAAGACATCTCCCTGCCTACGGGTAGAGTCCGGATAATCTGGCCTATGAGTATGAAGTGCCGGACCTAGGGAGACTCAGTCTTTTCTAAATATTATTTTATACTAAGCCTGTGTTTTAAAATCCAAAGCATTCATGAGCTGACATTTTAACTAGCATGCATTGCATTATTAACAAACTAATTAAAATTTAATTGCATTAGCTAGGAGCATTCACCCCACATAAGTCCAGGACCACTTAGAAAATTCTCTAGATGTCGGTCCTATTTCCAATAACTGTACCACCCATCCATCTCTCATAAATTGACTTGACAGCATGGTTTTAAAGCGATTAGGTGGTTAGTTGGCTCCCCAATCCAGGCCGGGGTAAGTCCAAATTTTGCACTGCATTAGCTAGGACACGGGTCTTAGTGTTGTGTCGAACACTAAAACCCAACCTAGATTTAGGATTCGAGGCAACTACATTCGGTCTCGTAGTATGCCTTAAATAGTAGGTAGGTCCCTTCTTTTCAGGGACTCTGAATCCTACTTATCTGCGTCACAGGATGACGCCACCTCCACCTTTTCTCTCACGCATGTGATTGAATGCTTGACTTTTGTTTCTCCAGTTTCTGTTTAATACCATAGCACCTCCGACTGTTGGAATGAGCCACGCATGTCTGATTCAGCCATTTGGGACATTTTTTCTTTTTGAGTAGGACTTCTTAGTCTATACCCTTGTGCCAATCCCACTTTAGAAAGGGATAATGTATGATCCTTAATCAAGAGTTTTCTCAGGCTCCGGCTTGGGATGTAATTAACCACGGGGGCTTGCGTCCGTGGGAAACTTGGCCCCACATCTACTAAATCCCACTCGAGCTCTTGTATCGGGCGGGGGAAACCCGTGACTAGGTCATATATATTACTACCCATCGAGGTGTGTTGGCGACAGCCTCTATCCTCAATGGTTAGTCGTATGCACGATCCAATCTGTCCTTTCCAATTGACCCGTTCGCGCGGTGCTCTTTCGGAGGTCCACAGATATATGTACTAGTCAAGTAAAGAGATAGAATAAGAAAAAAGCTTAGTTTAAATGCATTAAAAATGAAGATCAAAAAACACCTTTATTAGAAGAGAATATTCAATAAAGGTGAATGAGATATTTTGTTAAAATTTTCAATAAAAATTGTGAGAATACAATTAACTTTAGTGACCTTATCACCATAAATAAAAAAAAAAAATTTATTGTCATATTAGTAAAACTGAAGTTATAGAGATTTAAAAAAAATGAAGTGTGAAATAGCTGTTGGACCTGATGATATTCTAATAGAGGTGTGAAAATGCTTATGACATAAAGGAATTTCTTGGCTTATATTTTTTTAATATTATTTTAAAGACAAAAAATGTTAGAGAATGGTGGAGTGTGTTGATTCCTATTTTTTTTAATAAAGTTGATGCATATGAGTATATCAATTATAGAGGAATTAAGTTAAGTTCATATTTTAAAACTATGGGAGAGAGTATTGAGAATAAGTTACGATGTGATACTGATGTTTTTCAAAATCAATTTGGATTCATGTAGGGTAGGTCTATTGTGGATATTATACATTTATTGATAAGTTTGATGGAGAAGTGTAGAGAGGATAAGGAGGATCTAAAAAAGATATTTATTGATTTAGAGAAAGCATATGATAAAATTCTAAGAGAAGTGCTCTAGAAAAAAGGTTAATAATGCTTATATTCAAGTTATTAAGGAGTTGTTAATAGTGTTCAAACACAAGATGGTTTGACAAAGTATTTATCTACTTCAATTAGATTAAATCATAGACCAGCTTTAAGCCCATATCTTTTTGTTATACTCATGAATGTTTTTACTGGACATTTGCAAGAGGGTGTACCAGGATTAGGGCTGTCAAAATTGGGTCACGGGTCGGGTTCTGGTCCAACTTAGAACTGACCCGACCCGTTTTTGCAAACAGGCAACCTTTTCAGACCCGAACCTTACCCGCTTCATTCTAGGGTCAACCCAATACAACCCGCCAACCCGAGTCAGCGACGTCAACCTCCGACTGACAGGGTCGGATTTTAAACCACGCTAACATTCACTGATGGGGTCGGATTTTGAAAATACATGAGACTTTCAAAAGAGGATGCAAATTTAACAGAAGATAGAAGGGAAACAAAATTCTAGCAGCAGCAATCTTAAAAAACTAAAGCAACAAATTAACGAAAATTTATCCTCAGCTGCACGAGTAGTCAAATGAAAGCAGCAAAGTACCCACCTTCCAAAGAAGATAATTTGGATCCCAAAATCCTTATTTACCGCAAATAAACTTCTATGACTCAGCATAAAATAAGAAAGATCAAAGAAACATTATTTATTACGTACTGCTAAAGCACTGTTAAAACCTTAAAATGCCTGAAAATCCCTTCTAAAAAGAGAAAAAGAAGCTTAACATGATGAGAAACCCAACAAAATACAACCAAATGGAAACAAAAAAATTCACAAAGACAAAGAGATAAAAAAGCAATGTCGATAGAATAAACATGATACCTAGGGATGAGCTAACAGTCCAGGATGAGGGTAGAGGGACTGCTTTTGTTGGATGAGGGACAGCTGCTTGAGCTGCTGTTGTT